ATAATACTATTAGGAATATAATATCTATTAAGAGTAATATATTATTACTTTAATAATAAAGTTAAAAGAATATTTATAAAAGAAATATAATATTAATTTAAATAATATAACTTTTTCTTTATTTTAGTTATTTATTATTAATTAATAAATTAAGATTTAATAATAATAATAGTAAATTTTATTAATCTAATTCAGACTAAAGAGCTTATATAAGTCTGCTTATATAACTTTTTTTACTTTCTTTTACTCTTATTTCTCCTCCTTCGTTCTGGCCTCCTTCCCCTCTTCTCGATTCTCGTCCCGCGGTCATTGTTCTATGTCTTGATCAACAACCCTCTTGAACTAGTCTAGAATCTTTGTGCGCTAAATCATCCTGATGGCTGCCTTCGCTCCCCTCTTGGAGGTCAGGATTTTCTTGATGTCGGTCGTACAAAGAGGGTGTATGAGCTCTTCTCTCTCTGTAGACCACTTTGGGCAATTCAGTAGAACATGTTCTACTGTCATGCTTTCTCCTCTTGAGCAGTCGCAATTCGGCTGTCGGCTAGGAGTTAGAGAAACAGAACGCGGCCTTGCAAGAACGAAATATGACTTTGCAGAAGCAAATTGCTGACCTAACAGAGCAGATAACTCGTTATCAGGCGTCTGCGCGTTAGGCGCCTGCCTCCATAATACGAAGTGAGTCCTTCGTACAACCTTGAGAGTCAGTGTGACCACAGGTTCTTTAAGTGAGCACCCTTCTTGCCGGATTTCCAGCGATCTTTCCATCTCTCGTTATAATACGAAGTGAGTCCTTCGTACAACCTTGAGAGTCTCTTATTGTGGCGTTGTTCCTGATTCTTTTCCTATAAAGGCACGTTCTTCTTTGTCTGTTGAGCCTCCTGGGGTTCAGATGTAAACTTGTTTGCTTATATATTCGTACGATCTGCTAAAGAGCTTTGAGGGATTATTATTCTTCCTCTTTTGTCTGCTGTTTGTCTACAGATTTATTTGCATATTTCCTTAATGCTAGTTGCCACTTTTTTATTAAGATTTAGTAGCTTTAAAATTTACTTATAATAATTAATATATCTTTTTAAGATTATCTTATTAAATAAGTTATAACCTCTTATACCTCTTTTAATATAATTATTAATAAGTATTTTTAAAGCTTATTCCTTTCTTCTTTAAGCTCTATAAATAAAATTCTATCTTATTTACTTACTAATAAGAATAACTTTAAAAAAGCTAAAAGCAAGATATAATAAATACTCTAAAAAAGTTAAGAAAAGATTTATATCTCTTTTAATATTTAGACCTTTTTTAATAACTATATATTAGTTAGAATTGTCTTATATTTTATTAATAATAATTACTAAGTTAAAGTTATCTTAATTAGTATTAGCAAGATCTATAAAGAGTATTTAAGTAAGAATATTAGTTAAATAATTATTAATATTATTTATAAATTTAAGACTAAATCTAAACTTAATATATTTATTCTTAATAATATTAGTAATAATAATATAGTAGTTTATTATATTCTTAATAAACTTAAATTATATAATATATATAACAAAAAATATTATTAATTATAGTATTGTTATAATACGTAAACACACTAGGCACTGACAGGCCTTAAAGACTATACGGACCTTGTGTGAAGAGACCCTGGAACTAACTGAGCCCAAGGGGCTTGGCGAGAGGACACGCTCATGCAGAGACAACCTTGAGCAAGGTGTTCATAAGGAGGGACTGATGAGCAACGCTCACGAGCGCTTATGAGTGAGCAGCCATGAGCACGAATCTCTTAGCCTATATAAGCACGCTCATTTCCTAGGTAGTTTCATAGTCTTTGTAATCAACTCATGTTATCAGCTTATACTTAAGTTGAAGACATCTTAGTATTGTTTACTACACTTCCTGTTCTATCTAATCAACCCCTTGGACCTAGCTTCTAGTTAAGACTTGTCTTAACTAGTTGAGCCTTAATAACTATTTAGGTTATATTATTAATCTTATTATATAAGACTTTATATTTAGCTAGAATTTAAAGAAATAATTATAAGAGTATACTATTATTAAGGAGAGCACAGATATTAAAGATTTATAATATAGCTAGATATCTTAAGAACTTATTAGTTATCTTTAGAATCTTATTTTATTAATTTGAAGTAGCTTATAATATAGGCAAGTATTTTATAAAATAATAAATATAAATTAAGATCTAAATAAGTAGAATTTAATACTTATTTAAAATAATATTATTCAATAGAATTCTATATATAATATACTTATTTATATACTAGAGTTTAAGAATTATATTTAAGTATATATTAATAGTTATTAAGTAAATTATAATTTAAAGTACAGAATAATAAATAAAGCTATTTAAAAGTATCCTTAGCTTATAAAGGATGATTAAATAACACTTTAAGAGCTTTATAATACTTTATAATTATTTAATAAAATTACAAACTTTCTATAAAGTAATAATAAAAGCGCTAGATATAACTTTTTATAGAAATGCCTCTCTATAATTAAATAGCTATTATTAATACTTAAAACACCTAAGGAAGAGAAGGGCATTAAGAATAAAATTAGTTTATTTATAAACAATATGTAAAACAAGATAAAGAAATACTATGAAGTAACCGATCTCTCTCCTTATTACGTTGCTGCTATCATCCTTAATCCTGCTTGTAAATAGAGATATTTTGATATTTATTAGAAGAACAACAGATACTAAATCTCTGAGGCTAAGAAGCAGATGAAGGCGTTATAGAGTAGATACAAGATACAGTATAAACATGTAATTAAGGAGGAGCAGTTACTGCCTACGGCGAAGTTTTCTCCTAAAAAAGGCTTATTCAAGAGCTTTTTAGCCTGCGGCCAGTCAACAGCTAATAAGGATGAGGCTGCTGACGAATATATGGCTTATTGTCAGCTACCTGCGCTCAAGTTCGAGCCTCAAAATCTCATTACTTGGTAGAGAGAACAAGAGCCCTCATTTCCGCTTCTGTGGCCACTCTTGCGTACACTATCCTTGCTATCCCTGCGATGAGCGCTGAATGCGAACGCGTATTTAGCTCTGCGAAGCTACTTATTACGCCAAATCGCAACAGGTTGAGCCCAGATACCATCGAATGGTCTGAATGCCTTCGAAATTGGTACAACAACAAGGTTATTTGAGATATAAATAGTGGTAAGTATAGTATAGGCTCTATTTAGGTTCTAACAGCTTAAATACAGCTATATCCTTCTCCTAGGCGCCTCGTCTGCCTCCTCCTCCTCCTCCTCGCCGCCGTCGAAAAGTCGAAATAGCGCATCACCATACAAATTGACTAAATTGTCAGATCAGTCAAATCAGTCAATTCGAGGGCGCTGATTATGTAATCAATTCAATCCGAGGCCTCAAATTGACTGATTTGAATTGATGGATACCCTGATGCCAATACTGATGTCAATCTCTTTTTAATGCTGCCGTATTTTCCTTCAAGAGTAGTTGAGATCAGCCAAGAATGGGCTGAATACATTAATCCTTGGATTCCAGCGAGGAACTCTTTTCTCTTCGACTTTCTCGTCAAAACCGCGTCCTGGAACGAGACGTCGGGTGAGAAGACACTGCTGAGCCCCACTGAGGTTTTTGGTGGAGTCATCCTTAGCAGTCTCTTCACAAATGGGTTGGCAAGAACAGGCTTCAACAGTGAACTTCAGGGCAGTCTAAAGTTGACTAGGACTTATAATGATTCGACGCCGGATGGCAAACTGTGGTATTCTGGCAGAGGAGACATGTTTGTGGTTGACACCAATCAAAGCAAAGACTAGGTTAAGCTGCGTGCTCATTCAACGTTAAAAGGATACGCTTATAACTGCAGTGGAACAGCTCCAAAAGTCGCTGTTGCATTATTATTAACATACTGCGTTTTAGCTCTGCTTCATTGCTTTTACGTCAGCATTTCAGGTATTAAATCTTGATAAACTGATGATATAAGTTCTGCTGCTGACATTAAATATTATGAGGTATTAACTCTACATGTTGGGACTCCATCGCTGAAGTGACCTGCCTGGCAATGAACCCCACTCCCACCACAGCACTCCGTAAGACCTGTGCTGGCATCAGTGAGATCCACATTTTCAGATTGCCGGTCCGAATTCTCGGGGAGGAGCATCAAGCCGAATCGGAAATATGGGACCTTGCCTGCAATGGCATCAACTCCAGCGGATGACAAGCACCATGTGAAGACCCTTTGAACCTCATGTGGGGAAGCATGAACATCTCTCGAAATCAATTGATCGTATCGGGAATGATGGAAACAAAGCTGTTCGCACCATAGACCGAACACTTGACTGCTGGAAAAGCCCTCCCCTTTCCTTTCCTTTCCTTCCCTGCTCGCAGGATGCTTTGGGCTCTTCATCGCATCATAGGCTTGTGGTTGGCCGCAGTGGACAATGGCGTCAGCTACACGAGATGTGACTCGGGCTGCTTATTCGAGATCCTAGGAGAAGGCATCTCCTTCGACTAGCTCACACATGGCCCATAAGGCCCACAGCTCTCGTGCATATACAAAAGTGTGACGAGAAAACAGACGGTCCAGATCCGGCATGAGGTGGCACATGAGTATTATCACGGCCTACGTTGAGGTAGGCTTCTCTTCTTCCCAGCCCCCGGCGACCACAACGCAAGAGCTTTCCTGCAGCTTCTGGAGATTGTTTCCAAGCAGAAGAAGATAGCCTCTATTATCTGCAATCAGCAATTGTGCTGAATTCCAAATATTTCATTTCATCCCTGATCGTTCAATGGTGTTTCCATAAAAGTATAACTTTATAGTAGAAAATAAAAACCTTTGATTACCGCCAACCGATTTCAACCCTCCATGTCTACCAAGGAGTTGCCGTGCCGATTATGGTGATTTATCCCGTACTGGTAGCATGGTGCTACCCTACCAAAATTCTCATCCTACGTGAAAAAAAGGATTGCGGCGGACGCCGGCTTCCCACCCTGTACCCGTCATTGGATCCGACTAAGCAGCTCGCGCATTTATTGCAAATGCCACATCCTCTGCAGGCCTGACGGGGAGGGTGTACATGCTGACATCGGGTGCAGCAACCATAGCATGGAACGCAAATGATGGTAGCGTGACCGTGGTGATAATTGAACATGCAGTCCCCGCAGGACTCGCATTTGCCGCACTCTGAGCAACAGGAGTTGATGCGGACATAGCGGCAGTGGAGGCAGATATAGTGAGCGGCCCCGATGTCAAGACCGGGTGCGACGGGTGGGATGGCTGTCTGCTCATAGTGACGCAAACAGAATTGCACTTCGTCACCGCTCGGTTGGATCCATGTGTACTGAAGTTTGGGAGAGGACGAGTGATACTTGAGACATTGATCGCAGCGTCTGAGATGGTCAGGCATACTTGATTGTAGTTGAGATAGCAGGGTGATGATATCTGGTTTGTTCCAAGGCCGGATTGGTGTGGGGACAGTTTCGTAGAAATACTTACTGGTCAGCTTGAGAAGCCAACTGGCTGGGAAGTCCAGGTATCGGATGATCTGCATTAGAAGTTCAGTGGGGAGTTCCACAAGGCGAGATTTCGCACAGCAGATTCCGCATCGTGGATAGGTTCCTTCGAGGCTTAGGCTGGCGCAGTGCTGGCACTTTCCACAGCCGACACAAAGAGGAAGTTGATTGCTAGATCGAGAAGAGGAATCTAGTATCTGTAGGCCATGACGACAATAACATCTGTCCGCGTTACCAGGACTCGGTACTGGAGCTGGCTCAGAAATGATATGCTGGGGACCATCTTCGATGGTAGAGGGAAGGTCGGGTTCTGATCTTGATCGTGATTCGTCTTCTCCCACCTTCCCGTTTGCTATCAAGGGATTGAGATGCGCAGTTTGGCAACCCTGAGCACAGGTGATAGCTGCCTGCTCTTCGGCCAAGAGGTCTTTTCGTCTGCCGCCATGTTTTCGGGAGAATAACGAGAGGAACTTTCGTGTTCTCGAAATGGAGGACGGATCTCTAGAGGAGCGCTTGCGAAATGGCACTATTGGCATGTTGTCGCGATATGCTCTCTCATGATTATACGAGACTAAATCCGAAGTTGAGAAGTTGAAATAAGGTGAGGGGTGAAACAATAAACTTGAATTCGTGTACCACTATGGAGTCGTGCATCAAAAAGTAGTCAAACTACACTAATATTAGGTGAGAGCTAGCAGGTACTAAGTGTAAGCCAGACACAGGCTAACTATTAAGATAAGACAAGATACTAATGTCAGCAAGGTCTATAAGCAATTTTAAGCAATTTCTAGAGCTATTCCTATATCTTACCGCAATTCTGCCCTGCGGCGCCAGTAATTCGAGGGTCCCGCCAAGGAATTCGCAACAATTTTGCAATGCACAGTACGGTAATTACAGAGGGCACTGAAATCTTCCAAACTCAATCAGTTGCTGTAGGATCAAACACGTCACTTACATATAAGAGACCATGAAAAGGGAAGTATGTACATCACAGCAACAGAGCCTGGTGATCTCTGTTATTGATCTATGCAATCTCTCACAGAGCACGAGGAACGCAGGAATCGAAACGTGACAGCTCATTCCGTTTGATATATGACCACTAGCTTAGGCAATCATTCCTACGAATGATTTTAGACCTCTGCTCTTAGTCTAGAGCTTGCCCGTGGCACCTAACTGAGCAACCAAACCTGCAGCAGCAAACGAACCCATAGCAGTTGCCTGAGGGACAGCCTTCATCATCGTACCGCAGTCACCCGCAGCGAAAACACCAGGAAGGCTCGTCTCACTGAAGGGAGGTTTTGTTTTAATGAAACCCGTGGGGTCCACATCAAGGCGCAATTGCTCGTGGAATGGACCATTGATCTTCGTTGGAGGGACGGAGACCTATTTGCACTCTTGTTAGCCTCTGTCCAATGATTCAATCCCATTTCAGACCCGGGATATACTCACAAAGAAAGCCTCCTTCCTACTGCCACCGTCCTCGAAATGCACCGTGACATGCTCGTCCCTGCGCTCCAGAGCAGCGATCTTCCTCGGCTCGATTGTGAGCGGCTTGCCTTGGAATTCCTTCTGCAACTGTGTGGAGAGTTCCTTGTTGCCGTGGCAGTAGATGGTCACATGTTTCGCAAGGGGAGAAGCCATACGGGCCATGTGCAGAATCATGGGAGGCGACGTGATGAATCCGAGCGCCAGGACGCCGGCAGATATGGCACCGCGCTCCTCAAAGCCGTGGCAGAACAAGCAGTGGAATCTAATCCATGGCAGCATTCCATATCAGTGGTCAATCCAAGCACAACTAGCGCCGAGGCGGACTTACATTGACTTGCCCCATAACTCGCCAAAACCCTTGATATCCGGGAATATATCTGTGACACCCGTGGCAAGGACGAGCTTCTTGCCCTGGTACTTGATCTGATGTTGATCCGTAACCTCGAATGTTCCATCCTCCTTCTTGGCTGCCGACACAATCGTGGAGTTTTGGAAGTGGATGCTGTTGTATTTGGATCGGATGTTCGCTCGTGCACTTGCGCGAAACTCGACTGGCGACTTGTGGTCCCAGATTACCACGTTGTGCATGTGATCCGCGTAGGCATTGCGGTATTGTTGCGAGTCAAAGACAATGGCAGAATATGTCTGACGTGCAAGACCGAGGACTGTTGAGAGACCTGCTGGTCCGGCGCCGATGACGAGGACGTCGTAGTTCTTGGTTGGGCTTGCCATTTTAGCAGGTCATGTATTCATGGAATGGGAAGATCGAAGACGCAACGTTCGCTTTTTCTGTTTCCGGAGCTTCGCTTTATGTCAAGATCTTCAATATTCGGCTTCACTTGGTTGCGCTTGCGTCGGGCTCAATTTGCACGAAGAACGCTCCGGGATAGCGACTAAAGTACAAATAAGTCCCCCACACTCTTCAATCAATTCACAGAAGCGGAAGTGTCCGAGCTTCCCATTTGAATGTTGCGAGTCTGGAAAGTCTCCGAGCTTCCCATTCGAATCTTGCAGGTCTAGAAAGTCTCCGAGTGGCTTTTATATCACTCAACACCATTGATGCTTCCATATGTATTATCAGCCGCTCTTGCGCGGAGCTTGCATTGCATTGGCGCTAGTTACGCTGTATGATCCACTTTCTGTCTTCACAGCTTGTCCTCGGCGGCCGACTCGCAACGCAGACATACTCATTGATTCCTCATTAGATCCTGACCATTGGTGCCTGGCTGTGTGGTCAGCATGCGCAGACGACAGGTTATTTCAGTACGCACGCTTTCACGGCACTCAATTCTCACAGCTTCTCAAGTTACGCTGCTTAAGCCAACATGGAAACGTCAGACATCAACACGTCGATCGGCGTGTCCACTGGCGGACATGCAGATGGCGCTAAAGGCATCAATACTGGTTATGCCAACTCGTCAGATGGAGCAATTACGACATTAAATACCCTGATCCAACTGTTGACAATGCTGAAGAGCCGCTTCAATGAACTGGGATTGCAGGCAGAGATCAACCGCAGGCTTCATGACTCAGAAAAGCTACCAGACAAGAAGATTGTGCCTCTGGCAGCAAAGGCAGTCGATGTCTTGCATGAAATCGAGCAAATGCTCCAGCCCGCCCAGCTGGTGTTGGCCCACCACTTCTCGGGTACATCTGCCTCCACCCTTGCTTTGGCTTCTAACGCTGAACCCAACATAGGCTACGTAAGCAGCAAATGTCTAGTGGCCGCAGTCTCACTTAAGATCCCGGATCTTCTCTTCAAGAATGGTGACATGACTGTTCTCGAACTAGCAAACGCCGCCGGAGCTCTTGAGGGCCGACTACGACAGATCTTACGTCTGCTCTACAACAATGGTATCTTTACATACAATGCCGAGAATGACTCTTACGCGAACAATTTCCGCTCGGAAATGCTGCGCTCAGACCACTGGACTCAATGGCATAACTGGGTTGACCTCTATGGCAACGAATTCTATGACATCGCTCGCGGTATTCCAGCCTCCGTGCATAAAGGAACCACTCGAAGTGCTGCTCAGCATAATTTCGATACCGATGATAACATGTTTACCTACTTTGATAAGCAAGAGTGGGTTCCGCGTCTCCATCGTACCCTTGGTAGCGGCGCCATTGCACAAGCTCCGGGCCTTGTCGCTGATTATCCGTGGCACGAGGTTGGCAACAGGACGGTTCTCGATGTTGGAGGCGGTGGTGGCGCTCTGATTGCGTCGCTACTACGACACAATGCCAGCATGAGAGGTGGAGTCTTGGATCAGCCCACAGTGATTGAGCATATCCGACCTTTCTTCAAGGAGGGCGGACAGTTTGCAGACATTGGGGCTCGTGTCTCGCAGGACGATCTCATTTCAGGTGACTTCTTCTCGAAGCTTCCCAGTTACGAAGTCTACGTGATGAAATGGTGTCTGCATGACTGGCTCGACCCGGAGGCAATCAAGATTCTACGCAACATTCGGGAAGCTATGATTCCGGGAGAGAAGTCTCGTCTAGTGGTGCTGGAGTCGGTCATGGCGGATGGGGAGATGGGAAGACTGTCCCGATACGGTGATATCAATATGATGATGACAGCCAAAGGTCAAGAGCGAACTGCGGATGACTGGCAGCGTTTGGCGAAGGCTGCAGGTTGGGTGATTAAGGGCATTTATCCGTTGAGAAATGCCTGGGTCAGTGCGATTGAGATGCGTCCAGTTTGAAAGATTTGTAGCGACGTCCTTGGAATCTTGAAAGAGCTCTACAGTTGCCTGTCTTATCGTCACTGAAAGACCTCTGCATAATCATTCAGTTGCGAAAACACACCAGATATTCCACCAGACGTGGGACGATGAGAATGATAACACAACATCAAGAGCCACATCTTCACTATGCGATCTTTCAAATAGGCATGCCTTTTAGCAGCCAGTGCTCTTTAAACAGCAGGCATACATGCACGAATTGAGGAGAGTCTCCACGCTTCTATATGGGGCACTTCATCCTCTCTTACCCATCGTTTATTCTCGTTTCTATCTCTGCCTCCAATCTTACCTCACAGCCTGTTTGTGCGGCTATTAGTCTTCTCCTCCCGTTGTTTATCCTGTAAGAACACATCCTGCGCACTGCTCTGGCCCTTCGAGGCATTTATTCTGTCGGAGCTGATAAAGATCACGCGAAGAACCTCGTTGCGACTACCTGGCATAACGGCGCAGCATTGTACGTACTCTGAGGACTGTTCAGGAGAACGAGCGCCGCGCTTGACAAATGGAGCCGGCAACACGAATTGGTGGGATGAGATGTCTTGGTTTCAGTCGGCCAATGCACGCATCCGTTACCTACCTACTAGGCATTATTTTTACAATTGATTACCATTTTGGATTGGTGCGAGCGCGAAGTCCTGTGCCGGAATGGCTCCCAGCCCGTCGGTGGCCGTGAGCGTATTCAAGGTTTCGATCGGCCCGCTCAGCAAGGCGGGCGCCGCACTACCGCCTCGATCTAAAGGAGCATCGAAAATGGCACGGACATGGAACAGAAAGCATGCTTTGCATAATGTCGACCAACTTGAGCAAAACTTTTATGTGCAAATGCGTGTTGTTCGTGTGCTTATGAAGTAGAACTGACAAATTGCATCTCCTTCGAACCTGAATCATACACTACGCCTGAAGCCAAGATGGGTCCAACAGACAGCTTCACAGATATGGGCCTTCATTACCGGGATATACTCCTTGGCCTTATTGTTTTTACTGTCCTTATCATACTAAGTCTCGTGGCATGGGCACTGGCAGTTCCCAAACGACCAAAACGCACCAACTTGCCCGTGTACCATGTTACTATGGGAACTGACGCAGCAAAGATCCTCGAAGAGGCACATAAAGAGTACGTTCTTTGGGTACTCAAACCTAAGAGTGCAAATACTAACGCCAGTCAGTGCCCCGACACGCCTTTCGTCTTGTCACAGTTTGGGTTGGATGCCGTTATTTTGCCCACCTCAGAAATCGAAACTGTAAAGTCACTCCCTGAATCAGAGCTCTCGATCAAGTATGTGGCACAATATATCATTTCTTTCATCTTGGAAGTACTGATCAACTAACAGGCATCACCATTACAACGTCTTTCTTGGCGAATATTCGTACATGGGAACCAAGGCCGACGAATTTGATGCCACCGTACGCCACACTCTAGCTCGCAACACGCCCGTTCGACTGGAGTCTTTTACCGCAGAAGTGAAGCACGCAGTAGAGACCTGCATCGGTAGATGCGAGCGCGAATGGACGCCGGTTCGTGTGCGGCATGCCATGTCTAGAGTCGCTTCTATTATGTCTGGGCGTGCTTTCGTTGGTCTCCCACGAAGTCGAGATCCGGAGTGGGTTGAAGCCACTACTAGCTACACCCAAGACGTCTCTCGTGCATACATCTACCTGCGAGCACTGCCGTGGTTCGTTAAGCCATTCCTCGCCCCGTTCTCGGCCCAAGTAAAGTCCTTACTACGGCACAGACAAATTAACGTGGAGAAGTTGGCGCCTCTACTTGCCGCCAAACAACATAAAGCTGGCAACAAGCAGATTGAGTCCAAGGTCCATAATCCGCCCGGCGGCGAAATGCTCGACTGGTTCATCTCCCACTACAGCAAGCCGCCCACTGTCCATCAGCTAGCCCGCGATCAGCTTCTGGCTACGTTTGCGTCGATCTACAACCTGTCAAATGCTCTGTCATATATAGTCTTTGATCTCGCAGCCTACCCGGAGCACATCGAAGAGCTGCGCCAGGAGCTCAAGGAGGTCGTAGGCGAGAACGGTATGATCGACAAAGTCACACTGCCCAAGCTGCGCAAGTTCGACAGCTTCGTTAGAGAATCGCAAAGACTGAGTCCTCCATCTATTGGTGAATCCAATATACCGTAAGCTTGTCTTCATGCGTATGCTGACGTCGCTCCAGCGAACATCCCACGCTATGTCAAAAGCCCATCCAGCTTCCGCACCTCAACTGGCCATCTGATTCCTCATGGCTACACAGTCATGGTCCGGGCCGAGCCTATCAACAGAAATGCCAATCTGTGGCCCGAACCAGATAAGTTCGACGGTTTCCGCTTTTCTAAACTCCGTGATCGTCCTAGTAATGAGATGAAGTATCAGCACAGCAGCACTGGTACCGACAATATCAATTTTGGCCATGGAATCTGGGCGTGCCCAGGGCGGTTCTTTGCGTCAGCAGAGATCAAGATTGTCATGGCGTTTCTCATTACGCATTATGATATCAAACTTGTGCCGGGTAAGGGAAAGCCAGGCAAATTCCATTACGGGTTTGCTATTCTGCCTGACACTGAGGCGGACATTCTTTTCAAGAGGCGTGAGGCTGTCGCCCTGTAGCGACTGGAGCAAAAAAGGAAGCCTGGGATAGCTCAGATCGTAAACGCACTGGATCCAGTTATCGTGAGAGCACACCAATTGTCGCCGACTGTGCATTAGCAAGGGCACAGGAAATGATGAAATGATGGAAATCATTTACTTGAGCTATTCATCGCTCTAGAAATTGCATAACATACCGTTCTAGAGTTCACAAACAGCCTCTGTATATTGAAAACAACAAAAGCTTCCCTGGCACCACAAGACCTCTCAAGGTATTCAATTCCAAGAGCATGGAAGCAACTCATGTCACACCTGTTGGGCTCCAACAGTCTTTTTGATGAAGCGGTTGACCAGTCCCATCAATACCGAGAAAAGGATGTGCTGAGGACAGTGTTGGACACTTGGTTCATAAATAGAGCTTGCTATCCAGAACGATTCACATTGGCGAGTCCCCTTGAATGAGCCTGAAAGTAGAGAGTACCCAGGCTCTCGGCAGTTATCTGCGGAACAATTGAAAATACCTGGATAGTCGGACATAAGCTTTTTTTTCCCCAGTTCCAGTCACGGCCTCCACCCTGAGCGGCGCTGCTTTAGACTGAGCCGAGACTGAGCCGAGACTGAGCCGAGACTGAGCCGAGACTGAGCCGAGACTGAGCCGAGACTGAGCCGAGACTGAGCCGAGACTGAGCGTCCCTGAGCAGCCCTGAGCAGAGGCTGAGCAGATGAATGAGGAGTTGGCAAGACCTGGTTCTAGTCCAACTGGGGCCTGCTTTTGGGCTCTCGTACTCGGCTGCAACTGCTCACTTTATTTTATTAGTGTTTTAGCCAAGCCTGCTGTCTGGAGTGAGCCGCTCCTTCGAGATCCTCCTGCTTATAGCTAACTTACGAAAAGTAGGTCAGGACGAAACTAAAGACTTCTCTATATTAATACTGCAGCCTAAGGCCAAATGATTCATCTCCTTTGTACTGCTCAGTAGTATCCACTAGGGAACTGTTAGTACCTTTGCGCCGCTCAGTAGTATCTACTTCCTAAGCAACTGTTAGTACTTTTCTGTCGCTTAGTAACGTACATATCCTTAAAGAATGTATCTACCAGAGAACTAGTGGGGCCTGGTCAACAGCATAAACTCCTTAGAGATCTATTTCTTTAGAGAGTTGTTAGTATTTTTATGCTAGTCACTAGCTTATGCCTCCCTAGAGAGTTTCCTTTTTTGGGAACTAATATACTATTTACTATATTTATATATAGTAATAATAATCTTTAATATGTGACACTTAATACTTATGTATTAACGTTTGTTCCCTTGCTGTTCCCCTGTGCTCCTTTGCTACTTGCTTGTATTTGCCCTTAACAACTTCCCATTTTTTCGTTATCACTCTAGCTGTTGTATTTATGCAAGTTTAAACGAAAATATTCATTCAGCTTAAATTGGATGCCTAAAGCTCTATTTATGGCTTAACCGATTATCTAATATAAGTAACTAGATATAACTTTATTAAATAAAAAAAAAATAGAAGGATAGAAGGATAAAAGGATAAAAGGATTATTCTGTACATTTTCTGTGCGCTTTTTCTGCGTATTCTTTCTGCGCATTTCTGTACCCTTTTTCTGCGTATTTCTGTGCCTCTTTCTACGCATTCTGCGTGCGAATTCTATGCCCTCTTTCTGCGTATTTCTACGTGTGAATTCTGTGTCCTCTTTCTGTATGTTTCTGTGCCCTCTTTCTACGCATTTCTGTGCCCTCTTTCTGCGCATTCTGTGTGTGTATTCTGATTTTGATAGGGTACGGCTTAGCAAAATTCTGCAGCCTTGGCAAGCTAAGTAATGCTACGTTAAACTCAAGAAGGCAGGAAGAGGAGTATTAACCAATTATAATACTGATCCTCGCGGGCCATATTTTTAAGCTTATTATTACAATAACTAATTACACAAGCTTAGCAGTACTTTTATATATAAGTAATATTCTCTCCTCTTATTTTCTTGTTCTTCTTTTTTTCTTTTTATCTATTTTATAGTAAGTTATTAGTTATTAAAAAATACTTTATATTAGAATAATTACTAATATATTAGTTATTATTATTAATTAAGAGTATATACTAGAATATTCTAGAGTATTTTATAATTACTAATTAGCTTATAAATTATTTATAAATAAAAGAGTCTAGATGATTTTAAAAGATTCTATTAATTATAAATTAAAGATTTTATAGATTTCTATTATAAATTAAAGTTCTATCTATAGAATTTGAGATAGTAATCTAACTTTACAAAAGAATTATGCCTAAGTAACTAGAGTAACTTGAATATAGTTGGAATAGTATATTAATCCTTATCTAGATGCCCTAGCGAGAGTTAGACCATGACTCCATCTAGGCCCTAGGAGGCCTTCATATCAACTCTGTGACACTACCCCGCACCCTAAGGACTTACGTCCTCGTAAGGCCACGCCCCGGGGATCCTTATAGACCCTACGTCAGACTCCCTTACGATTTCACATGGTCAAATTGCCGTCAACCCACTATAAAGGACCTTCCCACAATAGATATGCTAAACTCTCCCGCTATTACGCGCCCTTAACAGAAAAGAAATCAGAGGCCGTACAGGGACTCGAACCCGCGAACATACGTGAAGTCTAACCTGATCAAGATTAACTTTAGTTAAGTGAGATAGTGATCTAACTTCACAAAAGAGTTACACCCACATAACTAAAGTTACTTGAATGCAGTTAGAATAGTATATTAATCCTTATCTAGATGCCTTAGAGAGAGTCAGACTATGACTCCATCTATGCCCTAGGAGGCCTTCATGTCAACTCTATAACAGAATTCAATTATAAATAGATTCTATAGCTATTCTATAGCTATTCTATAATTAGAAATCAAGATTAAAAATCATAGATATCTGGCATATTCTAGGGGATTCGTTAGCAAATTGCTATAGTATATAAGGATAATGGATTTCCTTAGTTAATAGATTTCCTTCTTCTTCTTTAAGCACTTTAAAACACTTTTATCTTGTTATATATCTATATATATCTTATATAAGCGATTATATAATCAGATAATTCAGAGACTTTAACTTATATAATAAGTTTGATCTATTCTTTCAAATCCTTTTAATAAAGACACTTATATAATATATCCTTAACCTTGATTTGTAAGGATTCCTGCCTTAAATTAACTACGTACAAAATATAACTAATCTTTTGCGAAAGACGTATTATGTAAAGCATATTAGCAACTAATAACTATATAACTTTATATAATGCTGCCCTAAGCTTAAGCCGCGTTTTTTATGTGTGTACAACTTTTAAAGAGCTCTTTATAAAGACTCTAATTAAATAAATATATAATTTTAGCTAATAATTAATATATATATAAGATATAATATTTAAAATTATAACCAAGAGCTAGTATTAATTTGAACCAATTTCGAGTTGATTTGGTGGAGAAATAAAAGAGTAAAGATAATATAAAGTAGTAGAATCAATTAGTGTAGGATGCCAAGCTAGTTATAAGAGCTAGAGATCTATAAATAGTATTATTCAATAGTACTTAAAAAGTTATTCTAAATATATAGTTTCTATTTTTATCAGACTATTATTTAGCCTAAAATAAAAAGAATAGTAAAAAAGTATTAGATTTAGAAAACTAACTTTTAACTCCTTCTTCAGATAAGTAGTTATAAGTACTAAATTATTATATCTTATTAATTTATCTAGGTTTAATTATAATATTAATCTAGATAGTACTTTAGTATCCTTAGAGTAATCTATATATTTGTTAAGCGCATCTACTTTTGCATTATTATTTTCTTTTCTGTAAGAGCTTATATTATATAATTTTTAGGTTATCTTATCTAAGCTTAATATTAAGTTATAAATACTAATATTAATTAGACCTTTTTTCTTTTAGACTAATTTATAAATCTCTTAAATATTATAAAATTATAATAATACTATTTTATAATTAGAATATATATAAAATCAGATTACTAGATATTAAAAAAGCTCTTTAAGTAGTATTTTTTTAGCTATTAAGTAATTAATAAAGGGTATAGAACTAATTACTTATTTAATAACCCTTTTATATAAAGAGGTCTGTACACTTTATAAGATTTATTAGGTCTTTGCAAAGTATTAGAGGACTAAAAAAACACATCTATAAGCTAAAGATATACTTACTATAGAGGATATATATAGTTTAATTAAGCAGAAAGAGGTTATATAATAGTAGTTAAGTAAAAGATTAGTAAAAAAGCATATTATATAGGCTAGATCATTAGGCTTATAGCGTTATAAGAGATATAGCAAGCCAAATTATAATATATAAACTTATTAGAAGATTATAGAGACATCTAAAAAAGATAATAATATAAAAAATAATTAATTTTCTTATATTATTAACTTATTATATATGATAATTACAAGATTATAATTTAGATAAAAGATATATAGATTACTTATATATAAATTACTTATAAATTATATTAATATTATACTAATAAATTTTAAAGATAATAATTATAATAAAAATGCTTATATTATAACTAAAATAAAAAAACCTTTTTTAATATAAATAAGATTTTTTTTATATATTTTCCTAAAATTATATATTAAAGTACTGCCTTATAAGAGGATACTATTTACCTATTATAGTCCTATCCTTGCTTATCTAAATCTATCTAGGAATAACCTAATAAGGATTTCTATACTAAGGCATAGGAAATCAGAGTACATAATTACTAATATAGCGCTAGGCCGCTTTAAGAATTTGCCTATATATATATAGCTAAATTCTTTAGCACTAGCCGCGAGCTAGTAATATATTTATGCCTGCTACTTATATGCTTAACTCATAACTATATTAGCTATAGATTTTAATATTCTTACTTGTGCGTTATTAGGGCTTAACTAGTTAAGACAAGTCTCAACTAGAAGCTGGGTCCAAAGGGTTGGTTGGGTAGAACAGGAAGTGCAATAAACAATACTAGAATGTCTTCAACTTAGGTATGAGCTAAT